TTTGGCATGTGAGTTAATCGTATTCAAAACTGGCATCTCTATTTCTCTTGTATTCACTTATCTTGTCTAAAATAAATTTGTACATGTAATACCTACACTATGTATTTTATACATATATACATGTATATGATATATACCTATACTCGAAACTTTATAATAAAATTACTATGGAATAAAGATAAACATGTAGCATCGTTTGTTATTCATTATTTTTCCCCCCTGATATATGCAGGAACTGTTTTCTCAAAGTTCTCAGTTATATATGATGTTAACTGGTATGTTTAAGCAAAATATTATTTTACTTTTCAATGAATTTGAAAAGCACCGGTTTAAAATAGATGAAATGCTTTTCTTTTCTGCCAAGCATATTTTGTGAATTTATAACATGTCTCCTTTCAAAAACTTATTTTTGACCATGTAACTTAAAAAAAAAAAAAACCTGAACCATTTGGGAGACTAGAATGCCATTGCCACTTTGGGAAATACTAGTCCAGAACTTACTTCTTCACAAATTTCTATATTCATTTTTCTGCTTCTCCTTTTGAACATTCCAAAACATTATTATTTAGATAAGCGAAGGGTCTCAAAAATAACCTTATGCTGTGTGATATTCATTAGTACTGTCCTATATTGAGCAGTACAAATCTTTTTTTTAATGCACTTGAAAAGACATTATAAAGACAGTTTTAAAATTGACTTAAGATAAAAATAAATATAAGAATTGGGTGAGTAGTAGAAATTAAAATGGTTTCTTACAAACTGCCAAATGACAGGGTATTCTGGGACATTTTTAGTTTTTAACCATAATATACTATACCAACCAATTGTTTTCATTGTAGATGAATAGTACTTAAAACTTAATTTTGGTTCCTTCTATTCATGAGTTTCTGAGAATTCTCATTTCTTTTTTGTGGTCTTTATTTAACACTTGCCTTTATGGAATACATTTGTTATTTCATTTCATTTCCAAAATGTCTCCATTATTTTATATACTTGTCCAAATGGATTACGGGGATCGTTTACATGAGAAAAGTATGCTCCTTCTCCACACAGGAACAGTTGGAAGCAGTATGACAGCTAATGAGTAAAAGGGCTTTCTGGAAACTGACAACTTCTTGAATCTGTGGAAACAAGAAGGCTGGAATAAGACTTAC